TAATAATATAACGTATGACATCGCGATTGAATTGATACCGCATTACACACGCAAGCTTGAGATATATTTGAATGCACTCACACATCTCGGAAATTGTCTATTGCGGAGGTTGAATTGGAGATTAATTCCCATGATACATCCTCAAGCCCMCGCATGGATGAAGGGTATATTTATGACGACATTGTTAAATAATTTATCGCTTTTTGACTATTTTCTTTTTCGTTTGTATTATCTTTCAAAAATAATAATGGCACAAGAGGAAGTAAAAAATTATAATAATAAAAGAAATAATTAAATTGAATAATAAAAAGAAGCGAAAAGCAGACTTCGTGCTCAGTAACTACTAATTGCTTACATCCTTTTCTTGATACATCGGTAAAAATATTGAATATAATAAAATTGTTTCCAGTTTACGATATTTTATGTTTAATATATCGTCTGAATAAATTCTGCCGTGGTTCGGTATCATCAGAGACATAATTCAGAAAAAAATTATTTTATTCCACCAATTTGTTAAGTAAAATATAATTTTTTATCCTGCTATATTTTTCTTTTGTGTCATTTGACTTAAAATGACATTTTGAGGGAATTTGAAGGTTATTTTTCTATGGTTGCCGYGCTATTATCGAGTATTTGCTTTGGGGAAAACTTTTTAAAACCACCTGCTCATTCCTCTTCAGACAAATTTGGCAATACTTTAACCCATTTGATCTGTCAAGAATATTTCAATGTTGACTTTTCGATTTTAGTTTTGTCTGTACATATGATCAATGAAGAGGAAATTATTGAGGCGCCGTCTGACAGCAGCAATGAATAAAACGGTTTTTTATCGCTTGTTTTGGCGATGATCATAAAATATTGATCATTCTAATTATAAGATCATTTTCTTATTGTCCTAATTTCATAAAACTTCACGAAAATCGATCTAAAAATCATTAGSTTTTAATTGAACACTCTCAAGTCTGCCTTTTATGTTAGAAAATAAAACAGAAGTACCATGCTCATTTCCTAAGAAAATTATTTAGACCGTTGTGTTTTTATTTTAAGATAAAACTAACATGTACAAGAGAGGCTTCAGGTAATCATTGAGTAGAACATAWTTGCTTGGCTTCGAATAATAGAGTCCCACTTTATGTGTTAAACGGATAGGGTCGCCACATTGATGCTAACAGTTGTGCTTTCTGCCTTGGGAATGTTTCGAAAGCTTTGTACCATKGTATTACTCAATGAGTTCATTTTATCAGTTATGATTCTTGAAYATGCGGCTCGAAAATGGCGAATTCTCCAACTGTACACAATGAAGTTCATGGATGAATTTGCCAARTAAATCGTGCGAATCCACGCTAGCARTGCATGTCTTGAGCARACAATTGGGTAATGGGGATGCAGCAGTCTGTATGCTCCGGGTGGAACCCAACATGCMAGGAATAGCAAAATAACTATTGCAATTGTTCCAGAGACACGCTTTTCCAATTTTCTATCGTGTGTAYTGGTAGAAACAGGTKCTGAAGGAGCGATTTTGGAAACCGTAATCTTAYAGAGAATCARACAATATGAACATACCATGGGAAGAAAGCCCAAAACGATGAATGTGGCGTCAAGAATGCTCAAAATAGAATCAGTGTTTCCTCTTGTATTCTGAAACTGRACTGTGAAATATGCACTTCCAAGAACTGCTATAATTCCCCAGCACAAACATGATAGTACCTTGGACCATTTTGCCATTATGGCGTGGTGTTGATGGGGCTTTACTGCAGAAATTGCTCGGTCAATGCTAATGGCGGCCAAGTGAGTCACCGAACTGCCGCCAGAGAGAAAAGATGCTATCCCGWACGCAACGTCGACKTCTTTGTTACACTGGCGATGGACTGATTTTAGAAGAACAGAAGTGATGAACAGTGGCTGTGCAACCATTGTCACTACCAAATCAGCCGCGGCCAAGCTTAAGAGAAAAACATTGGATGGTCTTTGTCTGAGCTGGGGTGTTTTGASAATTGCAATGATAATGAGGAAGTTTCCAAATGTTCCAACAATGGAAAAAACTATGTTGATGGTTAAGATTAGTATTCCTTGAATAGCGGGTATTTCCAACTGTTGAYCAGACATCTCTGTTTTTGTTGTGTTGTCAATTTGTAAAGAAAAAGTTCGAGTGTAATTGACTGTTTGCATAATAGAGTGGAAGGCCTTTCGTTTGTCACTCTTTGAGCTTATTTATCCGCCTATTTATTCCTTGAAATTGTAATCTTACTGAAATATAAATGATCTTCATTATTTTTTTGAGTGAGTTCTCAGACATGTATTGTGTGACGTCATCAGACAGAAGCGAATCATATGAGACCACCAACAATAAAGTATTTTCATTAAGAAATATAAAACGCTACGCTCGTGTTCCTAAGCTTGCTTCTCTCATGGTTTTCGAACTCCCACCGTGTATAAGAGGACAGAGACACAAGCGGCCGTTTTATATTTCTTTTATAAATCTTTTCGAGCGAAAAGAAAATTTTGCCGGTAAGCCGTCCAGTGTCTGTCCTCTGATATAAACACGGTCGTYAGCCAATCAGAGCGCGCGTTATATATCAAAAATTTTATAACTGTCAATAACACTGATATCTTTTTTATTTGCATTCCATTTTACTTCCTGGTTACTTTCYAAGAATTTGGACGAAAATTCAGGAATAAAAAGGTGAAACAAACGTCCTACTGTGGGAGATTTGAAACAGGCTGGATGACCGTACAGGAAAGCAATTTAAGGCCTATATCGATCCAAAGACTTATCGCCATTTCTCATATGCGAAAACTTGCCATCTTTAATTGAACCAATCAGAAAGCACCTTTCAATCCGAGATTATTTGTAAAACACAAGAAAGTAGCTCAAAGGTTCTTTGATGTACGTGGGGATTTAAAACAGTTTTTACTGATATTTGCTGATCAATCAATAGTCACTTCAAGATAATTTTGTCGAAGAAAGAAATCGAAATTAAGCTTTGGGGCAAAATTTCAGTCGGAATATTAAAGATGATTTTACTCTTGGTTATAGATTATTACTCATTAATAATGCATGAACTATTACTCCAATAAAGGCTTTCTATTTGGTCAGGAGATTGAYCTTGCAAATCTTCAGCACTGTCGTCACCACTGAGACAAATCACTAGCAAAGGTCTTCTAACAAAGGTTTCAATATCGCATCATTGTCATTAACTGGGTTTTAAAGAAATGAAAAGACAAATAGCAGTACGCCATTATCTAACAGATGGCTTGCTTTCCACATTGGATAAATAATTATATATACTAGACTTTTATAAAGCACACCCAATTATAGTCAATAGACAGTTCTTCCTGTGTCTGGGAAAACAGTGGCGACAATAGATATAAMACTATTTTTCTTTTATACCCTCYWCGCCGTCATTTTCCGAAAATATACTATTGTTTAACTTTTTCATCTCTTGTATTTAACGGTTAAATGGTCTTATTTTCAACCCGTGAAGACGTGTATGTTACTTTYGCAYGCATTGYATAAYTTGCACATAATCTACTCGAACGTAGAAGACATTTGCAATGAATTATCGCCTTTTTGTTTAAACTACCATAGGGCAAAAGGACCGTGCTTCCGCTCKTTTTACAAAAGTGGCTTTTTTATGTCTGGAACTTGATTGTTTTCGTTTTGGAGTTACTGAGTCAGAGTCAAATATTGCTTCTTAACAATCAATTTTTATTTAAGTAATTAGTCATTAGATTTTTATGTAAAATTTCAAGTGATCATTAAATTAACATTCCCCCTATAGGTAAAAAAATAAATAAATAGATCATTTACAGTATTTTTACTAGTTTTTTTGTAAATTTTTTTTTTCAATAATTTCTTGCTTGCTTTCTGCTGCTTTGAGGCAACCAGGGGGTTAACGAATTATTCTGTCTGTCAAACCGGGACAAAGCATTCTCAGACGTTTACATTCAAAGAAAGGTGCTTGAATTGAAATAAGAAATTCGTAATATTGGTAGCGGCTTATGTACTTGAATGATTTCAACTCAGTTATTGTAGTTTCACAAAATGAGTGAAGTCGACAATATACTTCGACAGGTGATATCAAAATGAATACGCAACAAAGCATAAAAAAAAAGAATAAAGTGGACCGCGAGGTAGAATAGTCTCCTTCACGGTTACCTACGCCATCTTGAAAGGTCGCCGTGCCTTTGCATCGAAGCGAGACAACCGTTGAGCGTGCAATGATAGAAACCTTCTTTCACACCTACAGACAATTATTCATAGGTATCTATCATTGCACGCTCAACGGTTGTCTCGCTTCGATGCAAAGGCACGGCTACATTTCAAGATGGTGAAGGTAACCGTGAAGGAGACTATTATACAACAACCAGAATGCTTTGCGCTTTTTTTATTTTGTAATGCTATTAGTCCCAGTTGTTTTGCTTGCTAATCTCCAAAGGAATTCAAAATCTGAATAACAATAAAAATACGCAAGGCTTTCTGTTAATTGTAGTACAGTAACGTCATCATGCAGAGCTTTTATTGTTCAAAGAAGATTTAAGTTCGACGTTAATATAACCACGTGACAATATTTCTTTTAATGGATTTTAACTTGGATTACATAGCTTATAATACAGAGATATTGCTAGGTAGGTAGGTAGCAACTTTATTTAGAGAGGTTAGCACTAAATAGTGGAAACCACTAATAAACTTGTGGCCCTCAAGGTTTTGTCTTAACAAGTACAGTAGTCAAAGAGTTGTTAACAGGGTAGCTTTGAATCAAACACCGATTTTGTTTTACTAGTGAGAATTGAATTGAATTGAATTTATTGATTCTAATTTCGGCTCAATCAAAATCCGACAATCAATGTAAGTTCGTCCAAAAACACATAATAGATTTAAATTAAAAAACAAGGGTTCTTCCTCAGTAAGTGAACATCGTTTTAAACATGAAGCTCGTGTCAAAAATACATGTTTTTTTTAATTATTGATGAATCCTCCTAGCTGCAAATTTGATATATTATTTCTTGTCTCTTATTTTACTAGTTTTTACAGTCCTTAAGATTWAAAGTTTAGAGCTTACCGGAACAGCACTAGCTTGCGTCACACTAATGTTTTGWGGCACAGGAGTTGTGCGGATGCATTTCCCAACAGCATGCATGAATGGTTGAAKCATTCTAGCGATTATTTTCAWGTATGCTGCACGGAACTGTCGGATTTTGAAACTGTAGACAATGAAATTTATCGAAGAGTTTGCAAACAACGAAGTCAAGATCCAAATTGCTCTCACATCAGACGGACAAATGAACGTCTCCTCAGGATGCGCRAAGCTGTATCCAACCAAAGGAATCCAGAAGGCTGCAAACAGTACGGTTATGAGAGCAACYGTCCCTGAAACTCGATTCTCCATGGCTCTTTCGCAAGCGCTGTTGTTTTGCGTYGAAGCTGCAGTTACATTGACTTTAGGAGAATATTTGACTTTGTAAAGGATAACAGCATACGACGAGATCATGACAAGAGCGCACAGCATGATAATGGCCATACTAGCAATGTTGACTTCTGGGAATTTTACAAATAAACTTCCAAATATGATAGCCGTACTCCAACAAATGACCAACATTATATTGGCCCATTTCTTCATGATTTCGCGGTGACGATGAGGTTTGGCTGCTGAAATTACTCGATCAATGCTGATGGCTGTCAGGTGTAAAACTGAACTTTTACAGGAAAATGGTGCTGCAGTCATGTACACCATTTCAAGAGTAAGATCACATCTTTCCTGGAAAGTTTTTAGAGCTGTTGCAGCAGTGCATAACGGCTGTACTACCATGGTCACTATCAAATCTGCTATGGCCAAACTCAAGAGAAGACGATTAGATGGTCTTTCACGAAGTTGTGGTGTTTTCAGAACGGCAAGGATTAWCAGAAAGTTTCCAAAAGTCCCAATAAAGCCRAAACAAACGTTGATGGCTAGCACGRCTGTTCCTTGTGCCTCGTCCATTTTTATTTCGTTTGTACCAGCAGCAGTTGTCATCGTCGTTGTGGCGGGAAGAGAGTTGTTGTAAAGCGACATTACAATAACTGTGACAGCAATGCAGATGATTTGATCTAATTGTTAGTAATGTACCAAGCTTTTGTCTTAGTTCCCATACTAATTTTACCTCCAGAGTAGTCTGAATTGACTACTAAATACCTGACCTTTTAATTGTGCAGTAGTATAGGCCCTACAAATGCGACCATACGTCATTTATTAGATTTGAAATTCAAATAGACAACCTTTCGTTGTTATATCAAATTTATACAGAAGTTAATAAAAAAGATTTCAAAGTTATACTGTCATAGGGGCATAAAATGGCATACAGTAGGTGATCTTCCTCGGTGGCTAAACGAGRTCATTTTACTCACAGCGACACATCGTTTACGCGTTTAATATATGGTACAATAAATTTTCTCTCTTTGCAGAGAGAACTTTTGATAATCTGAAAGTTTAATTTTGTAAAAATGTGGAGAACAATGTTATATATTATAGAAATATTTGGACATATTAATTCTTACCCCCAAAGAAGTGTGATATGTAAGCAAATTATGGATTTACTGTCAAATTTGTGTCCGAATTAGCAACAATTACACCATACACATGTCAATTTAGACCAAATGGGAAACTTAAAACTTTTGCTTAAACGTGACAAGAAAGACTTTTATTTTAAATTAAGAATCTTACACTCTCTGGTAACGGTTTGCAGATTTCAAAAAAGTCATTTTTGATGATAATCCAAAAAATGTTTTCCGAAAGAAAGAATTTATTTTCTTGGCAGTATTCAGACAYTGAATATGTTCCTGGGAGAGCAAAGAATATCCCTGAACAATCAAGAAAGGAATTTGATTTTTTTTTCAATAATTTTATCGTGGTTTATTATGGTGACGGTTTTTCCATTCTTAGACCCTCTCTATTGAAATAYCATAATTCTTATGCCATTGCAAATTTTAAGACAATCAGTGTGTATTCGTTGGAAGCATTACGTGCATGATGTCAGCTTCAATTTTTGTTGAATACCGTTTTTTTTCTTCTATGCATATTTCGGCGTATCAATTCTTACCCCAAAGCATGCAATTTAATTACTTGAAGAGAATTGCTTAACCTCTCGATATTGTACTATCAACCAATGTGTGAAGTATTCCTCAATTTGAAAGCATAAGTGCGAACTTGAAGTAGAGAACGAAATGGAAAACATTCATCAAAAGAAGCGACAGCGCTTTTTGAAAGATGCATTTAATTATGGGCGCTAAATTTGTAAGCATGTCATCATCATAGAAATGATTTATTTTATTGGTAGTGATATTCTGATTATATGCTTCTGTCATTAACCACGGAAATGTTTTATTTTAATGCATAAAGCTAGGGTGTTTATTCTTTAAAATATTTCCAAAAAGTCATAAGTAATACTTCAAAAGACAATCTATTAAGGACCAAGTAATGGTATTTCTTTTGAATGTTAGTTAAGAGTTACATAGTGCATAGACCACTTTCACAAGTGCATACCATCGATTTMATATGATTGGCAATGAAACATTCAGCTCTGTCATATTGAAAAACTATCAGAAATAAGTAATGGTGCAAAATTTTGAAGATATATACTAAATACTGACGAAGTTATGGAGGAATGAAAATAYAAGGATTTGTATRAAATTCTTTACTGAGGCCTTGGTGGCCTCGTTTTGGTGTTTTTGTKCATCTTCCAACCCTTATAACTTCCAGAGGATTTWATATTTTTCTTTGAAACTTCCAGAGCTTATCTTTAGCTTTGATATCTGTCACCTGAGTGTTTTCTTTTGTCAACATTATGAATTTAACAATAATATGCTAATTAGTGTCGGCCATTGTGAAAGTAGTGACAGCTTTGTCATGACTCGGCTTTTATAATGGAATATCATTCTTAATGCTTTGGACAGATATTTCAATGACAGTTAAAAGTGTTAAAAGGATATTTCAATGATAGTTAAAAGTGTTTAAAGGGTTTGCAGGCTTTGGCTTTAGTTCCTTTGCACCTGTACGGAAAATATTTTTGAAGTGGCTAAATATCCTTAACAAAAACACAAAAGTTCGAACCGTGTTTATTTTCGTATCTTGGTGAAAGACAATGTACGGGCGTTCAAGAAAGGTCATAAAAACGTCTAGTCCCCGAACAAACAAATGACAAACTAAATTTCTTGCTAATAAATCTTTGACTTCTCTTTCTCACAATGACTACGAGCTGTATTACTTCTTTAGATTTTAGGTTTTTACGATATAAATATATTAAATGGCACCGAYGACGAACTTAATCGACTTTTCAAATCTTTTCACAACTGAAAGTAAGCCTCTTTATCTAACATAATATTGTTATTTTTCTGCATGGAACCTTTTTAAAGGCACTTTCTTAAACCCTCGGCAAATGGCTGAAGCATTCTATTAATGATTCTCAWGTAAGCTGAGCGAAACTGACGGATTCTTAAACTGTAAACAATGAAATTCATTGAAGAATTGGCGAGCAACAGAGTTCTGACCCAAGTTAATTCCATGTTAAAAGAGCAAATGAAAGTTACATYAGGGTTTGCAAAGGCGAACCCAACAAGAGGGAACCAGCAGGCAGCAAACAGCAAGATGACGATTGCGATCGTGGCAGACATGCGATTCTCAATGGCTCTTTCACGGGCTGTGTACGTTGGCATAGAAGGTGTAGACACTGTGCTTTGAGAAGAGTGTTTGACCTTGTAGAGAATCATGCAGTAGGAACAAATCATAATGATCTCACTTATCAAAATGAAAGTTGGTCCGACAAAGTTAGCTTTCGGGAATGGAATTAGCAAACCCTCGAATAAAAAAGCAATCCCCCAGCAAATACCCAACATCATCTTGGACCACTTCTTGATAATTTCACGATGTTGATGAGGTTTGAAGGCTGATATGGTTCTGTCAATGCTGATTGCTGCCAAATGAAACGCCGAACTACTGCTTGAGAATGGGCCTACAACTCCCAAGGCCATGTCAAGGGTTAAATTGCATCTACCTTTAAACGTTTTCAGAGCTGTTGATGTCACGTATAATGGTTGGACTATCATGGTCACTACTAAATCTGCTACAGCCAAACTCAAGAGAAGATGGTTAGATGGCCTTTGACGAAGATGAGGTGTTTTCAAAACGGCAAATATTATCAGAACGTTCCCAAGAGTTCCAATGAAGGAAAGAAATCCATTGATAACTATCACTGCAGTTCCTCGCGCTTCATCCATTTTTTGTTCGCGATTAAAATATGTCTGAATTGTTATTGAAACAAATCTGCTAAATTTGCATAGGAAAGGCAATTTTCTTTAATAGCCCTTGGGGGCTTGACAAATACAGATTAAAGATTATTCCCAACCCTCGAGAGCAATGCTTGTGATTTTTGAATGTGATTGTATTCTTTAATTTTAGTTATTGACTGAAAAAATCACTTATCCTTTTTACCAAATTGGCAACAGCGTTACAAACCAGTACATTCCACATTAATGCATCAAGCTGTAATTTAACTTCAAGTGATTATTTTAAAGGGCTACTTGGACGAAAATTGCGAAACATTAGAAAAGACTTGGAAATCAAATATCAAACCTATCCACATGGGTCTAATAATCATGAAGCAACAGATTTCAAGAAGATATTGATACAAATCCTTAATAAAAGGGCAAAAAATGTTGGAGTAGATGACGTCATTTACTCAATCCTTTTGTTCTTCCATCTTTTGAATCAAAATTTCTCTGATGTGGGATAATTCCAAGACAAATATTTTTCCTCAATTTTTTTTAATAGATATATGTGAGTCATATATTTGTATTGCTTGAAGTTTTGAAATAAGGCCATTTTCATGCAAATAGCACTTTAATCTTGATAAAACTTCTGATATAACGACAACATTAGGGTCGAAATATAAACTGATAATTATTAGACGACTTCAACGAGTTTATTGCAAAAGCTCTTTCTGAATGAATGAATAAAAATTCAAGTCTTATTATGCAAATATTCATTTTCGTAACTAATTCATTTTAAATAATATGCACAAAAAACTACAATAACTAGTTCAACACCTAGTCTTCACAATTATGTCGAAGAACCATATATCTAACTTAGCTAGAAATCCTTTACAATCATTCTCTTAATATAGAATGAACTTTTTCATTTCTTTACATATTATATACAAATTTATCGATTTTCTTTGAAAGATCCTAAGCGGAAACATTGCTCAACTGAAATCTCAATTCTCCATGGATGTTTTCCAATTTAAATTGTCTCACTCGCATCTTTGCTTTCCTTTGATAAACTTGGCATGTTTATCGTTAGAGGGACGGACACAAGAGTGATCGGTGTTACAGTCGTATTTAGTTGTTCAGCGCTTGTGCTTAAGCAATTTCTAGCAATTTGTCGAAATGATTGCAGCATTCTGTTGATGATTCTTAAGTATGCAGTACGGAACTGCCGGATTCTCAAGCTGTATATGATAAAGTTCATGGATGAGTTTGCTAAGCAAAGTGTACGAAACCATAATTGTATGAGACCAAACGAACAGTGGGCAGATTTATCAGGCTGTGATAATCTGTATCCAACAACGGGGAACCAGCAAGCAACAAAAAGGAAAAYCACAATGGCAATAGCTCCAGAAACTCTCCTTTCCATGGCTCTTTCACGTGTCGAGGAAGGCATTGCTCTCATGGCTGAATGGAACTTGTGGTTTTTGATTTTGCAGAAAACTATCGCGTATGAACCAATCATGAGGAGGAAATCTGTGGCAACAAACAGGGCAATAAGAATGCTTAAGGTTTGGGCGGCGCTTTTCCCTGCCTTCGTTATATGTATAGTTAAATATGCAATKATTGCAATTATAACAGAACMCCAGCACAGACATAGYATCTTTTTGCCCCACTTCTTCATGATGCTATGGTATTTATGGGGCTTAACCGTTGCGAGCGCTCTATCGATGCTTATGGCTGCCAAGTGGCTGGTAGAGCTACCGCCTGAWAGTGTCGCTGCCAGGAAATACGCCATATCGACTCCACGGGCGCATCGATTGTCAGCGGTCTTTATAATAACATATGATGCAAACAGCGGCTTTGCARCCATGGTCACTAACAAATCAGCTACTGCTAGGCTGAGGAGAAGAATGTTGGACGGTCTTTTTCGGAGCTGGGGTGTTTTCAAAATAGCAAAGATAATCAGAAAGTTTCCAAATGTGCCAATAACTGAAAGAGCCAAATTGATGGCTCCGATCATCGCTCCATGAAGAAGAGGAACGCCCAATTCACCCGCTGATAGCGAAGCCGCTTTGCTGCTATTTTCGTTGTGAAGAAGCATGCTTTCAGTCTTCTGAACCTAATGGCGAGGAAGATATTAATTCATAAACTTTTACTATGAATCCAAGAAAATCACGTGATCATTGTTCATGAATTCCCAGAACGAAGGATTGATTCGATTTCATTCAAAGTAAAGCGAATAATCMACAGACTTTTTTTCATAGCAAAATTCGCTTCTCCATAAATCGTTCCCGAACTCAGTAATGGAACTAGGTTATTATATAGTTATTATTATAATTCTTTTATTGATGAGGTTAATACGTGTATGTAAACCTATAATTTATAATCGGGAACATARGATCGTAAAGCCAGTTCAATAACAATGATAAATTATAGTTTAATATACAGCCTTTTGCAAAAATTATGAGAATTGTTGAAATTCCTAAATATCATAATAT